GATCTGTGGATATATCTCTTTGCGAGCGTCCATGAGTGCTGCCATCTCCGTTTTCATCTGCTTGAAAGTCCAAGGGTTTCTCCTTCTTCTCCTCTCTCTACCGCCTTCTTCTTCCATGTGGCATTGCTCTTCTTCTTCTTCTTCACTCGTCCCTGCCGCCAAGGATCCGGATCCCGGCACAGATTTGCTCTCTGACGAGCGCTTTGCCCATTCACCATGATCGCCTTCAACTGCTGCTTCCCCCGCAAACGCATCCGACCATCGGAATCCCAACCGTTCATCCTCATCGGCGGCCTTTAAGTTACTAGTATCCAATTTATTGTTGTCTTCAGCCAATTCATCCAATGATCGGGATCCCGACACGTCATCCTCATCAAGGTCGGAGGCAACCTTCATAGGCAATATTTTGTTGTCGGTCCGGGCTTCCATTTGCTTATTAATACCCTGTGGTCGATTATTGACGCTTCGACTCGTAGTTGTCAGTGTAAGTTTGTGTTGGCCGTCCCGATGATGACTGGGACGCTGGAGTTCGAACCCCTTCGCTAACCGTCTGAGCGCTTCGCGCTGCCGCAGTATCGAATCCTTAAGCACTGACGGTCTGATAAGATCAAGAGCCCCACTGGTCGATTTGGAGAGCACTCGAAAGGCAGGACCTTGATTCAGATCTGGCCACTTGTGCTCATAGTCGACACCGAATTGCAACATCCCGTCAAGGAGTTTATCTTCATCCACCACCTGAAACTCGTTACGGTGCTCACGAGCGACGAGGTGCTCGACACATTCAGGACGCATAACCTTCACAATCAACTCAACCCCGGGGAGGCCTACCGGATCCCGACAAAGGTCGTTGATCTCCCGAAGAATGTTCACATCCACCCAATCCCTGCCATGCTCAAGTCCGTCATCAGAACACCTAACCATCACGTCGATCCAGTCGTCATGGATGCCGGAGAATTCCAAAAATACCTCCATTCCAAGTTGATTAACAAGAATATGACTCAGGTCCTTCTCTATGATGTACTGCACTCCATGGGATTTCAATTGGTCATGCAGACGCACCTGGTCCAGTTTGCAGTTTCAATTCCAATCCTCACTTCGTTAGGCCAAAAAAAAAAAAAAAAAAAAAAAAAAAACATCCAAAATTTGAAAAGCACAGATTATCCCAATTGCCATGCAGACGCACACCTGATCCACTTTGCAGCTTCAATTCCAACCCTCCCCTCGTCATTAAAAAACAAACAAACAAACAAACAAACAAACAAACAAAAAACAAAAAACAGTTATGATTTATCCCAATTGCCATGCAGACACACCTGGTCCACTTTGTGATTCCAATTCCAATTCTCAACTCCTCAAAAAAAAAAAAAAAAAAAAAAAAAAAAATCCAAAATTTGAAAAGCGCAGATTATCCCAATTCAACCCCAATTGCCATGCATACGCAGCTGGTCCAGTTTGCAGTTTCAATTCCAATCTTCACTCCGTCAGGGGAAAAAAAAAAAAAAAAAAAAAAAATCTCCAAAATTTGAAAAGCACAAATTATCCCGATTCAACCCCATTGCCAATTATAATTGAATTATTCCAATTTCTTTCTTTTCTCTCCTCGTTTTGAAAAGGGTGACGGTCTTGAGATATCATCCTTGCGTTGACTTCCCCCGGGTAAAACCTAAAAAATTGCAAAAATAAATTCATTGCATTCGCCTAGGTCCATCAGATTGCGAACTTGTGTCTGTAATTCAACAGTTGATTAAAACTCGACTTGAATTCCAGTTTCTGAAAAAGCAGAGAGGTGCTGATTTCCATTGGTCATGCGGCCGCACCTGGTCCAGTTCCCAGTTCCAATTCCAATCCTCACCTCATCAGGGGAACAAAAAAATAAAAAAATCAGAAGTCTGAAGAGAACAGAATCAACAGATTATACCAGTTGCCAAATTCCAATTTCTCAAAAGCAGCGAGGCGGTTAACGGAGGCCCAAAAATTTCAGGCTTTTTTTTACTTTTTTTTTTTTTTTTAATGCTACTTATATTATAAGAAACCCCCATTTAACATGGTTTACCCCATTCAACTCCTTGTGGAAAAGCACATCCAAATTCCAATTCTAAAATTCCAATTCCAAAATTCCAAAATTCCAAAATTCAAAAATTCAAAAATTCCAATTCCAAAATTCCAAAATTCCCAAATTCCAATTCCAATTCCAATTCCACTGTCAAGAATTCCATTCCAATTACCAAAAATTGAAAAATTCCAATTCCAATTCGCTTTTCTGATAACTACCAAACCCAATTCCCAGATTCCCAAATTCTAATTGCAATAATTCCAATCCAGTTTCCAAAATTCCAATTCCAATTCAAATGCCAGTTTCTGAAAACACTGAAAAAAATGAAAATAATAATAATAATAATAAAATATTAAAAAATGAAAATGCAAGGCAGAAGCGAGATGACAATATTCCGATTGCACACTCACATTGAAAGCCAGGTCGTATCACAGTGTTCAGAAAGTAGCGTTGCACCAATATGACAGCAATGGAGAATAGTAGCACTGAAAGCGAATGTCAATGAAAGCTTGCTCTCGCCACCACCAACATATGTATCCAGTCCCTATCTCTCTACTTGGCGCTCGGCGCCCAGCCTACTCCCTACACAGCTACCACTAGCCTACTAATTGACAATGCAGCTGTTGACGTCAGCAGCCTCCGAAGTACTTGAAGATGTCGCCCGTAGCAGACTATCGCCAATACCAGGTATGTGCCCTCACATCATCATCATCATCATCCTTCTCTCTCTCTCTCCCCTGACTCTCTCCCACATCTTCCCTGTATACACCCGACGACCACCCCTGCGCCTCACTGTACATCCAAGCCCTGCCAACTATGGAAGTTGGGCTATGGCGCTGCCCTCAGCAGCGCCCTGTTCCCTGCACGACCGCACGTGCTCGCACCTCGCCTTTCAGAGCTAGCAGCAGCCTGCGAGCTTCAGCTCCAGCAGCGCTGCCGCCAGCATGCGAGTACCCCAATGCCTCGCCAGGCAGCGAGCTCTTTCCTACATAGAAAGAGCCTGCCTCATTCGGCAGCCTGGCTGGACTGGCCTGCGCCCAGAAGCTTCCGGTAGGCCCCAGGATGCTGCGCCTCTGGTGCAGCTACTGGGCCTCATTCGGTTGGGCCTCTCAACTGTCTGTGTATGGGGCTGCGAAACTCGCCCAGGGCCTGTGCTTTCGGAAAGGCCTGGAAGGCCTGGGAAATTCCACGCTACTCGACCTGTGTTTTCCTCCAACCAACTGGCGCGACGAAACTGCCTGGACCCCAAATACGAAATTGACAGCCAAGGGCCTCTTGTAATTTGTCAGGCCCGCCTTCACTTAGGGGGGGCACATTTGCTGCAGGGGCCCCTTAGGCCTGCCGAGGACCCAGATCCTCGCATTCCCTCCTCCTGTACTTTGGCAGTCCTCTGAGAAGTTTTCTATTCTGCAGGCATCTTCCCTTTAAGATCTCTCTCATAGCCTGCAATGACTTGAGGTGCACTTCTCATGAGTTCTTCTCTGGTGAACCACCGATCTTCTCTGGGGTCCAGATGATGTCTGAATCTGACCCGGTACTGCATTTTTGGCTTAGGAGGGCGGCCTCTGCCCAGTGGTCGAGGAACAGGCATCAGACGATGCTCCATGATCTGGTCTATGTCCACTTCGCCATCCATGGTTGGGGGCAGCATTGATCTCCTGGAGGGAAACTGATCTGTGGCAGCGAAAGGTGTCAACTTGGATGCATGGAAAACAGGGCAAGTGCACAAGTGGGAAGGGATGCGAATCACGTATGAAGGCCCATCCGGTTGATCCCCTACAATGTCCAAGATCTCCCAAGGCCCAAAGTACAATGGCATCAATTTTCGTGAAATCCTCATCTCCTGACCCAGTTCAGATGACTTTACCCAGACTCTATCACCTACCTGAAAGTTAGAGGGCGGTCTATGTTTATTCTCGGATGCGATCATAGCCTCCTGAGACTTCCTAATATGTTGAAAGGCCTGCTCCAGCATCTGTTCATATTTAACAACAAACTTTATGCTGCCAGGTGCTGCAGTGGGTTGCCTTTCTGGTAGCAGAAAGTCAAGTGCAGTTTTAGGCTTCCAACCAAGATGCAGCTGGTTGGGAGTCATACTAGTAGTACTGTGCACAGCATTGTTGTACAGGCTGGTGACGAGAGGTAACTTCTCGTCCCAGTCATCCTGACTTGGCTTAATATAATGTCGAAGCAGGTGTTGTACTACCCGGTTCATATGTTCTGCTTGGCCATTTGACTCAGGGTGATTCCCTGACGTCATTTGGAGCTTGGTACCCATCTGTTCGGCTGTCGCTTGCCACAGTTCCCTGGTAAACCTTACATCCCTGTCACTTACTATCGACGTAGGTAGTCCAAAATCCTTGACCCAGTTATCCAGAAACAGTTTGATGACGTAGTCAGTTTTAGCAATGTCTGGCATAACGATCAGTCTTGCATACTTAGTAAAGTGGTCCACTATCACGAAGATGTGTCTTTTTCCAGACTTATTGTTCACAAGAGTATCCATGAAGTCCATGGACACACTCTGACCAGGGACTTCAGGAATCGGCAAGGGCTTGATGAGCCCAAGCGGAGCCTGAGTCCTAGGTTTGTCCCTTTGGCAAACCTGGCAGGTTTCAACGTACCTTTTTGCATCTTGCATCATAGTGGGTCACCAAAACTTCTGCACTAGATTAGTTGAAGTCTTTTTATAGCCAAAATTACCAGTTGCATCATGGCATTCTCCTACAAATAAACTACGCAAAGACTCGTTACTGGGACCACACAATCTTTTATTCTGTGCCTTCTCAAGAAACAGCAAGCCATCCACCATCGTAAATTCATCCAAAATCTTTTTGTCCTTTGCTTGGAATCTACGGATGTTCTCAGACATAACTGGATCTTGCTGATAGGCTTCCACCAATGATCGAGTTACGTCGTTGGATATACCAAATTCAGTCACTACTGCCCCCAGATAATCTGCCCGACGAGATAGTGCATCGGCTACTTTGTTGTACTCACCATTGATTGGATCAAGTTGATAGTCATACATGTCTATCACTTGTATCCATCGCTTGAGTGCGTGAGAGAGTACAGGTTGTGTCTTAATCCAGCGCAAGGTCTCATGGTCAGATCTTACATAGAAGAATCTGCCAAGGAGATAGTGTCTCCAATGTACCAGCGCTCTATACAGGGCATAGAGCTCACGCTCATAAGTGGACTTGGCTAGCTTCTGAGACGACATCTTCTTACTCATGTACTCAATAGGTCTCAACTTGGGCCCCTCCTTTTGCGCAAGGACCGCGCCTATGCCATATTGGCTGTCGCCTGTGGTCACTACAAATGGCTTATCAAGATCTGGAAGTTTGAGAACCTCATAGTGTGTCAGGGTATACTTTTGTTTCCTGAAGGCCGCCTCACACTCTTCAGTCCACTCCCAAGGGGTGTCAAGTTGAGTTAAATCTGTTAATGGGGAAGCTATAGTACTATAGTTCTTCACAAACGGACGATAGTAGGCCGTCATCCCCAAAAACGATCTGACCTCAGTAACAATCCGAGGTCTGGGCCAGTCACGTATGCTGCCCACCTTAGTATCATCCGGCCTCAATCCTTCTGCGGAGATTTCATGACCCAAGTACAAGATTTTTTTTTTTTTTTTTTTTTTTTTAATTCGCTCCAATCTATTCGTGGGGATCATCATGTGCTGGGAACCGGGCCCAGCGTCCCTTATAATGGGAATACATTAATGATTGACAATTGCTGAAAATTTGGGATGATTGAGGATCATTTTGGATGATCTAGGATGTCAGAGTGGGTGATTGAGGTCATGAAATACTATCCTATCCCTAATTTCCTGTATCCATTCCAAACAACCAATCACAATTGAGCCCATGTTGTGCATCAATCAGGCCTCTTCCCAGTCTCACACCCCAATCTGGCTCGGTTACAGGGCAACGCTACCCACCCCAGCTCCGACCATCGTCGGCCAGATTGTAGCCATTAGTCAAGTTTGCAGATTGCCTTCCTC